TATCTTCCTATTCTCATCTAAAGAGTAATGTCTGTTTTACTTTATGACATTTAATAGAGATGAGTTTTGCAGTTATAACATTCATGAATTTGATGTTTAATGATGGTCTCAGAACTTATGCCTTGGGAATGCTGAGAATCTAATGCATGCATTTTCTTGTAACTTATTTTGAGTAAAATATGCAAACTTATTGGACCTAAATATTTTGGTTAAAGAGAAATACGCAGATGTACTATTTAGTATGTGCTTAGGCAAGTCACATAACATAAAATATAGTTTTCTCCCTTGTAAAATAATGAAGCAGGGCAAAACCACTAAGGCATTTTCTAGCTGTAAAACAATCCTGTTATAAATTACTAACTATCTCTAATCATTTGAATTATGGTTCAGCAAATATTAACATTAACATCTCTCCCCCTTCCATTGTAGGAAGAGTCTACTTTCTCATTCTATTGATGTCAGATTTGTCAATGTAATTTGCTTTGGCCAATCAAATGTCAGTGAACTTCACAGGAGCATAGGCCATGAGTGTTCTTGGGAGATTAGGTTTATACTTTGGTGACTTGTCATGAAAACATGTCACTGACTCTTCATCTTCGGTCCAGAGCAAAGACATATATAGCAGACCTTAATCCAACATGCATCATAGAGCCTATCTCAAGCTAATCCACATCTTGAAGCAGAGCTTCCTGGCCAAGACCAGCTGAGTCAGTCAAGGTACAAGTAACCTAAACAGCCAAAAATGCCTTTTGTTTTCAGTCAGCAAGTTCTAGGGTGATTTGTACCACAGCATTATTGCAGTCATAGCTAATACTACCATACATGTACTATATAAGAAAAATACCAATATAGCCCTTCTTACTAGCTCAAATTTATTTTGACTTAAACCCAAGTTGGCTTACTAAAAAATTCAGCAGATTTTTGTTGACAACACCACATGAAGGCTGTACTGAACTTTGTATATTTATGAATGCATAGCTTCTAAATCTCTCCAAGGATTCAAGAATCTACCATTGTATGGGACTTACTAGACACAAGGCGTTGACTGCCACTACAATGAAGAACACATTCAGCTATTTATTTTCCCTGACCTCTGGCAATAAGAACCTAGTTCTGTGGCCTAAACCTGTCTTATGACAGCAGTCATCAATTTATGACCCATCGGCAAAATCCAGCCTGCCATCTGTCTTGGTAAATAAATTTTTATTTGAACACAACATGCCTATCCATTTATATATTATATATGGTTTCTTTCACCCTAAAACAGCAGAGTTGTGTAGTTGTGACAGAGACTACATGACCTGCGGGGACAAAAATATCTACTAACTGCCCCTTTACAGAAAAAAAATCTATCCTCTCACTTATCAGATGCCTCTGCCAGAGACCCTAATTGTGGAATGAGCGACATACAACAAGAATAAATAATTTACATACTTTTTTTTGGCAGTGATGATAGTAAGCAATATCCAGTGCAATGGTGCTCCCGGTAAAGCAGTGGACTCTGGCATGACAGCAAAATAATTCAGATTTACCTCATAACTTGATACTGGATATATTCTGGATGCCTAGCCTGCTCTTCTTTTATACTTTCTGTTCATTGCTAAACCTAGCTCTCAGGCTTTCCTATTGATTCCATGAGGTATCTGATATCCTTCTAGTAATTTATATAATTCTACCTAAAGTAACTAGAGTCACTTTCTGTTAGTTGTAACTCAGAACCTTGAATGGTCTATAGATCTTGATTTATTGCTAATTATTAGTAAGGTGTTTTCATTCCATTCTCCAGGGATCTTTTTCTTGCCCTCTTGTATAGCTCCAATCTATCAACCCTTATTTTACTGGCTAGTTGTCCATTTTCTCTCCAAGACTGTGAAGCTCTTCAAAGTGGGGACTGAGTCTAATTCTTCTCTCTGTAGTTCTCAGGGAAATTTGAAAGCATGTCAGAATGAATTGACAGATGTCATGACTATCAGAGCCATAAGATCACCATTTTTATCATCAAAATTGCCAACCTTAACTGAGCCATTATTGTGTTTAAGCAATCCACTAAGTTCCCCACGTATATTGTGTCAGATAATCTTCATAACAACCCTGTGACAAAGACACTATTATTTATACATAAGAAATGTATGGAGCAGAAGATTTAAGAAACTTGCTCAAGGGCACATAGAGAGTCAGCAGCAAAGTCAGAACTCCAAAACAGGTTGGAACTCTACAGCCTGTGCTCATAAGCAATTACTTAAGAAAGTTTTTATCTGAGATTAAAGTCATAGGAAATTTAGCAGCTCCTGACCAATTCCTATAGAATGTCAATGGAAGTACAATTTCAACCTCTGGATAAGGAAAGGGTGAATCTACTGGGGTTAGAGAAACTCTATCCTTTGTCAAAACCAGAAAAGTCCTCAGAGTTGGGGTGCGATTTTAGCTACCCTCTCTGTGGAATGACATTAGTGTCCCTGCTTATTTTTAAGTCTAAGGTGAAGGTAAACTGAAAGGGAAATGTCCATATGACCCAGTGAGAAGGGAATACCTGGATCATTTGCCAAAAATTACTTATAATTAAAGTGGAGGAGAAACCTCAAAAAGCAGAAAGCGTTATTTCTACTTTAGTGCAAAACTGGTAGGTGTGTACAGAAGCACAGTAATCACTGGCCACCCAAGAAGCCTCAAAGGTCCTTAGGGGATGGTGTGGGTGGCCTAGAATGCTTGGAGAAAACACTGACTATAAGAAGATAAACCAGAGGGGAAGAACTTCCTAACAGTGGAATGAACATCCCAAAAGATGGTAATGAAACTGACATCACTGGAGTAGCCTGCAGAGCTTCATAATGACTCAATGTGAAATGCTGGGAGAAAGTACACCATGGCAGCAATAGAAGTTTATTTAAATATTTTTATTTGTTTATTTTAGAGACAGTCTGTTATACAGGCTGGAGTACAGTGGCACAATCATGGCTCATGGCAGCCTTGAATTCCTGGGCTCAAGGGATCCTCCTGCCTCAGCCTCCCAAAGCACTGGGATTACAGGCATGAGCCACCATATTATAAGTTTAAGTTTGTATTTGTAGCATATACACAGAGTGGCTGAGTTTCTTTTCCCTTATCAAGTCTGGCTTTGGATACTGTGGGACCAGCTATTTTCAAGGAAGTTGAAATAAATCTCTCTTTTTTTGTTGCTGTTTTTTGTTTTTGCTTTTGTTTTGTTTTGTTTGAGACAGAGCCTTGCTCTGTCACCCAGGTTGGAATGCAGTGGCAGATTTTGGCTCACTGCAGCCTCTGCCTCCTGGGTTCAAGGGATTCTCCTGCCTCACCCTCCCAAGTAGCTGGCACTACAAGCACATGCCACCATGCACAGGTAAGTTTTGTATTTTTAATGGAGATAGGGTTTCACTATGTTGGCCAGGCTGGTCTTGGACTCCTGACCTCAAATGATCTGCCTGCCTTGGACTCCCAAAGGGCTGGCATTATAGACATGAGCCACTGCACCTGGCCTGGAAGTTGAGATAAATCTGTTAGACTATCCAAAGGGGAAATATTCTCAGGTTTCTGAGAGGAGGCTTGAGTCCAGACACATTGAACACCCACTCTGTGCTCAACACTATATCAATCCTGAGCATATAACACAAATAAAACATAGCCCTTTTCTATAAGGAGCTTGTGCGGGAGCCAGAAAAGTAAACAAATTGATTACTATGTGTTAGGTTCTAGGAGTAGGCGCATCAGATCTTATATTCTACAGGGTAGCCACCAAGTCTGGAAAATTTACAAATACATAAATGACTTATTGATATATTACATTAAATGATGAAACAATATCTGAGTTTCCAGATGTTATGAGCAAGTAATCGTTTTAGGATTTCTAGAAAAAGACAACATCTGAAGAACAGGTAGGTCAGAGGGAGAACAAAACACTTGGGGATCCACAAATTGATTTAATATCGCTAGAACATAATTCGGAGGGGCTGGCTGTAGGGCAGGCAGGAAGAAATAAACACTGAGGCTGACCAGATAATTATAAGCAATTAAGGAGTCAGGGTGTCATTCTCAAGGGAATGAGATTATAGTACCGAAGCTCTTACACTTTAGAAAAATGATGACCACTGAAAGATCATTGAGAACAAAGTAGAGACAATCATTTCAGACAACTGAGATTAATGCTAGAAATCTCTTTAGGTGCCTGATGTAGTAAACCAAGAACTAAAATAGGAGTAAAGATGGTTAGAAATGGACAGATGTAAGAGATACCATGGAGGTTCCCTGTAATTATTAGACAAATGATTTGATTTCCTCTGAGAATAATTAAGAAGCCTACCTTGAGAATAAAGAACTTTGAAATGAATTACTTTAAGCTGTTAGATAACTTTATTACTTTTAATCTCAAAATGTAAAAGAAAAAGTATTCCACTTCTTGTGATGTGAGGCTAAATAATGTAACTGAATTTCTGCGCCCCCTTCAATTAAGTCAACAGCTAAATATTTCAATTAAGATAAAAAGAAATATGATTTTAAATTAACAAATTCCCCATTGCAAAAGAAAAATGTGAGGGAGGGTTATGCAAAGTGTAAAGTGTTGCCCTCCAAAATAGAAATAAATGAAAATCAATTTTTATTGATAGGTAATATTTTAAACATGTTAATCTAAGTATCAAACTCCTATACATTTTTGGACACAGATTTGACTAAAGATAAATATGTTATATCGAACAACTGTTTATAGCACCTCAATTTAATGACCCAATCTGATTTACGATTACCTGAAATTTTAGAAGATACAATGCTTCAACATAATGCTAAATTTAATACTGAATAATTTCTACAATTCAGCTCATTTTTCTGAATTGTTCATCATTATTTGTTCTCATTTTACTTACCATTTTTCAATGACAGTGATACTTCTTTTTCCCTGTCTTTTTTCCTTGGAGGGTACTGAAATAAATTCTACAGTTCCCTGAAAACAAATCATTTCTCTAAGTATCAAGCAAAATATACGTGTTACCTACCCTTGTCGGTCCTTGTACATTTTGTTAACTTTTTCCCATTGGAAATCAAGCTGGGAGAGAGCTTCCTGTAGCTTCACCCTTTCCACAGGCGTTGCACTTTGCAATGCTGCTGTCTTCTTGCTGTGAATAATGTCAATCCGACCTGAGCTTTGTTGTAGATTATCTTTTATATTCTGTAATATACAAATTTTAAAACAAGTAAAAAAAATGAATTAGCTGTCTATAGAAAGAGAAAAAATATGTATAAATCCCAAAGGTAACAAATGGTGTTGCATTTCTTAATTACTGACTTTTTAAAGTTAATAACCATGAAGTCCAGTGACTTTGACATGCTCAAATTCAATAGGTAAATCATAGACCTCGGCCTGAGAGAGTGGATCCCTCCCTACATCTTAAAACTGCCTTCATTTGGCTTCTGTATCCTAACCTCTTCTGGTTTTTCTTCTACCTTTATGTCCACTGCTTCTCAGTTTCCTTTGCTGGATCCTTCTCATCCTGATCTTAATGTCAGAGTGCTCTGACTCAGTATTTTCATTTCTTTTCTTCTCTGTCCATAATCCCTCCCATTTGTTCTCATAATTTCAAACATCCCGTATAAGACAATGACACTCAAATGTGTATCGCAAGCCTGGACATCTCCTCCGAACTCCATTCTAACAAATGCTAGTACTTTCTCAACACTTGGAGGTCTCACGAGACTTTCAAACTTAATATGATGCAAACAAAATTCTGAACTGCATTTCCTAATCCTTCTCCTCCCATAGATTCCCTCATTTCAGTAAATGGCAATTACTGATTTCAATTGAATTATAGTAATTCAATTAACAGTTACTCAGATTGACAACTTTGGAGCCATCCTTAATTTTTTCAGTCTCCAGTATTCGAATTATTGGACAATTGTTCTGGCTTGACTTTCAGGACATATCCAGAATTTGACCACTTCTCACTACCTTTCTTGCTACAGCTCTGATATAAGCTATCGTTATCTCTCATCTGAATTACAGAAATATCTATCTAAATGGTCCTCTTGCTTCCAGTCTTTCCCCTCTAGTGGATAATTCTCCACACAAGAGCCGAAAAGATTCTTTCAAAACATAATTGGGATCATATCACTCCTCTGCTCAAAATCTTCCAGTGGCTCTTCATCACAGAGTTCAATCATAGCCAATTTCAAAAGCCTACATGAAAAACAATTATTCTTGCTGCACTTTATACAACTACTCAGACCAAGTATAATAAAGCAAATCAGTCCTGTGATGATTTGTCTTTAGTAAAAATGGGAGACTGGAGAGAGAGAAAAAAATTATGTTTTAAGAACTATGGTACACCTGCTATTAGTCTCATCAGTTGAGTTTTTTCCTGCAATATAGACTGACCCTGCTTATTCCTGTGAATCTGCCAGTGATCTCTGACTATACCTCAGAAGAAACAAGAAGGGTGGGTAATGTAAAAACCTGCATCAGTATTCTAATTCTGGACATGTATTGGAATCAGCTAGCAACCCCATATCACTTTGGTTCCAACAGTTGCCCAGTTCATGAAAAGCCTTCTAATTTAGTTTACTTGGGATAATTTTACTTATTTTGTTTTACGGTTGTGGAATATATTTGCTGTTGTACTCTGTGTAGGAATGCAGTATAAGCTTAGTCAATGTTTTCTTAAATTGAAAACTTACTAATCTTCCAGATACCACCATTTATCAATTATGAACGGCCCTCACCAAACTGATAATTGCTGACTGAGCTCCTCTCTACCCTGAATACAAGAGACCCTAATAGTTAGGCAGAAATATCATCACCCATATTCAGCCTGAAGAAGTAACAGAAGATGTATCTTCATCCCTCTACTACCCTTAGGATTAAGGGTTCCCTTGTAAAAGAAAGGGGGGAAATAGGTCAGAGGCATTAGAACCAGATCAACTTCATCTTGAATAGGGGCTGGGTAAAATAAGGCTGAGACCTACTGGGCTGCATTCCCAGGAAGTCAGGCATTCAAAGTCACAGGATGAGACAGGAGGCCAGAACAAGATACGGGTCACAAAGACCTTGCTGATAAAGTTGCTGTAAATAAGCCAGTCAAAACTCACCAAAACCAATATGGTGAAAAAAGTGACCTCTGGTCCTTCTCACTGCTCATTATACACTAATTATAGTGCATTAGCAGGCTAAAAGACACTCCTACCAGCGCCGTGACAGTTTACAAATTCCACGGAAGTGTCAAGAAGTTACCCAATATTGTCTAAAATGGGAGGAACCCTCAGTTCTGGGAATTGCTCACTCCTTTTCCCAGAAACCTCATGAATAATTCACCCCTTGTTTAGCATATAATCAAGAAATAACTAAAAGTATCCTGAGTCGAGCAGCCCATGCCACTGCACTGCCTATGGAGTGGTCATTCTTTATTCCTTCACTTTCTTAATAAACTTGCTTTGACTTTTTTTTTTTTTAAAAGCATAATCTTTACTATGACCTATACATCTCTCTATGACTTGGTTGTATACTACCTACCATTCCAACTTCATCTCTTCCCAGTCTCTTCATAGTCCACAACACTCCACCCTCATTAGCTTTACTGCATTACTTGAGTATACCAACTATATTCTTGCTTCAAGATTTCCGCCCTTGCTGTTCTCCCAGCCAAAAATAGTTTTCCTAACCAACATTTATATCACTGGTTCCCTTACTTCTTTCTCATGTTAAAGGGGCCTTCTCTACTACCCTATTTTAAATAGCATCAGCAATCACTCCTTATTCCTTGCATTATTCTTCCCTTTTCTTTATAGTACTTATTTCTAACATTAAAATATATATCAAGTGGCCTGTATATACCATTAGACTGAAATCTATGAGTATAGGGATGTTGTTATCTGTTGGGCTTCCAAAGCTCAAACCTGTGCTTGGCACATGATAGATGGCAAATGCTTTTTTGTTGAATGAATGAATAGATGATCCCATAAATTGAATCCATGCTTTATTTATATTCTATTTAATGGAGAAATCACAAACCACAAATGTGTTATATAAGAAGAAAGAGAAATCTAAACATATTTATTCTCAAATAAATTTGCTAAAAACTACATTCTGGCTATTCTTGCTAGTAAGAATTTGGTTATTTTGATCATCTAAATCATATATAGGGTCCACTGAACAAAATGTATTGAGTTCTTCCCATGTGTAAGGAGCAATATAGCAGAAAGAAAGGTGGGTGAAACACAGTTTAGTTTGCTTTTAAGAAGTTTTAAGTGGGTTTTATTGTAGTAGTAAGAAAGGGTATGGTTTGAAGAATTGAAGAACAAAATGGAAGTACAGAAGCCTTAGCTAGATGAGAAGGAATAGATGAGTGTTCTTAGTGGTACCAAACATCTTCTAGAAGTTCAGAGAAAAAATATATCATATATCATATTTGGTCTTAGGCTCAGGAAAGAATTCATGAAGAAGGAGCAATCTGCAGTAGACATACCTGACTAGTAGAAGTGGGAAGAACATTAGAGCTAGTAGGTAACACACACGCAAAGCTAGGTAACAAGTGCAGTCATATTTGGTTGCCTTTTTGGTAGCATAGAAGCTTAGGGGAAGATGGGCCAGGAAACAGAGGCTGAGGATATTCAATAATGTACTTTGAATTTCAACAGAAAATTCTGCCTGTACTTCAGTAGCTAATGGGGAACTATGATTTTTAAAATTTATCATTATGTAAGATTTCATATATGTATGAAAGTAGGAAAATAATACAAATAGCTCCCATAACCCTATAATCCAGTGCCAACTGTTATGACTCCATGGACAACCTTATTTTATGTATCACCCCACCCACTCACCTCTTCAACTAGATTATTCTGAAACAAATTGATATATTTTTTATCCATAAATACTTCAGCATTTTTCTCTTGCTGAAATATTCTCTCATGATAACTCTTTTTTCAGAAAGTACATATAATACCATTACCACACCTACAATATTAACAAAAGTTCATTAATTAAATCAAGTATCTAGCTGCTATTCACATTTGAGTTGAAGTGGGAAGGAAAACAGCTCAGCAGAATTCAGTGGCTGTGTGTTGGGTGAAGAGGAGGAAGAACTTGAATGACTCTTAGGTATCTAAACTGAGCATCCACATGATTTGTGGTGTCATTGGGTAAAAGGATTTCAGATGGATGAATAGGTTCCATGGGTGCATGCTTGTATATGTGTGCATAAATGATTAGTTCAATTTTGGACTTGGTCATAATGAAAAGCCTTTGAGGCATCAAACTGTAGATGTTCCATAGGCAGTTGAAATCAGATTTTGAGGAATAAGATGACAAGGATTGCTGAGCCACACATATTTTCACATTTGGATACATGGACTAGGCTTTCTGAGCAAAGAGTTCTGGTAACTGACTTAAAGGATGACTGAATGGCAAGCTTACCTTGGAATTTAGTGCATTGCTCCGGAGAGACTTAAAAACTTTTATCTCTAAGAGCCCTTTGATTACATTTCAACTTATATTCCAAAAATAATAGACCTAGATCTTTGGTTTATATCCCAGAGCAAAGTCTCTGTCTTTCTGTATGTCTGTCTCTCTCACTCTCCTCCTGATGCATCAGGTGTTGTATATAAGCTCTGAGATCCACAATATTGGGGTTTCTCTCCTGTACTACAACCCCTGCACTCACAGATAAACATCTTGCCCTAAGATGCTTTTGAGTAATTAATGGTATATTCTGTCATCCAGAGATCTTGTGTTCCTGACTAAATATAAATGTTAACAAGTATCAAAAAAGGGAATCTTTTTTTTTTTTTTTTTAGAAACGGAGTGTTGCTCTGTCGCCCAGGCTGGAGTGCAGTGGCGTGATCTAGGCTCACTGCAACCTCCAACTCCCGGGTTTACTTACACCATTCTCCTGCCTCAGCCTCCCGAGTAGCTGGGACTACAGGCGCCCGCCACCATGCCCGGCTAATTTTTTGTAATTTTTTTTCTTTTTTTAAAAAATTTATTTATTATTATTATACTTTAAGTTCTAGGGTACATGTGCATAACGTGCAGGTTTGTTACATATGTATACTTGTGCCATGTTGGTGTGCTGCACCCATCAACTCGTCAGCACCCATCACCTCGTCATTTACATCAGCTATAACTCCCAATGCAATTCCTCCCCCCTCCCCCCTCCCCATGATGGGCCCCGGTGTGTG